TGACAACTTTCTATAATAGGAAATATATTTCTGTTTACATATAGCTTTATAGTTCTTAACAGAAATTAAAACAAACCTCATATATTCTATGAAATAAGCAATGATTGTTTTGTGTAGATCACCCACATTTCTTTACAACCATCTTTATTATTTTAGATAATGGTAATGAGTCTATATTAAATAAATATAACCATCAAATCAGAAATAATTTAAAACATTTTTCTAGAAAGGATGCTATTAAGAAGTTTATCAAATAAACAAAAAACTAAATAAATCCTTACATATGTTGCTGATGTAATTTTGCAATTTCTTTTTCAAAATCTTGAGGTTGATTAGGAATGAAAGAATAATCTGAGAGGTAGCCTGGCAAGTTCTCTGACTGATTGTAGTCTCCAAGTTCAGCTAATAAAGGAAGGAAAATATTCATACTTTAAGAAATATATTTTTCAATTATTATAGTCAGATCAGCAATGCCATTAATTCCACTGTGTTTATAGATGTAAAATATTTATGTTTCTAATGTAACCACTTAAGCAAATTACAACAGTCTATTTAACATTCTTGTAGGTCTCCAAGAATTTCAGAGACCATTTTTTTCAATAATCACAGTAATTGTTAATTGGACATTTCATTAAATTGCCTTCTGCAGTCACTATTTTCTGTATAGTAACATGTCTACAGAATGCCCACATTAAAGGCAATGTACTATTAACACAGACTCTAAAGTCATATGCTAATTGACCTAAAAGTAGGCTGATACTTACACTGAACAGCAAATGAAGCTAAAAGGGCAGCGGTATTATAAGGACAAGGCAATCTAAAACAAAACAGAAAATATAACTAAAAGTTAAACGTAATTAATTTCAAAAGTGCTATAATTTGTTATACTATTCACACTTGAAGCTTCTATGTGACTTAATTTTAACTTAAAAAATGACCTTATCTGATGAAAGGAATTCACATTACACATAACCATTTTTTGACAGATAATTTGTTTGTAATGATCATGTGTTATTTAAACAATACAGAATTAAAAGCATTTTTAAAGTCCATTACAAAAGAATTAAAATAGCCCACCTTCCAGTAAGAATGTCTTGTTTAATTTGCAAAAAATACTGGTACCTTTAAAAAAAAAAAGATAGCATTTACTGGAATTGTAATGATTTTAGTTCTAAGAAACTGTATACTTATTGAAACACTTAAATATTTGCTTTTATAATCTATATGTTAGCATATGCAAAGATATTTTTAAAATAAGCTTTCATAAACTAATGAATCCAAATCTTTAAAATTCTTTGATATATGAAATTCTGTACTTTTAATGTCTTGATTACACTAGCTTCCACTATAAAACTCCTCAAGATTTTTCAGAGTTACACACCCAAGGGAGAAGAATAGGGAGAAATACTTAGGAGGACTGGTGTATGCAGAAAATAGAACTGGGAACCACAGAAAACTTCAGCATCAGAACCATGGGAGAGCTGATAGGAGCAACGCATCAGAGACCAATTAAAGAAAATCATCCTTTCTGCTGCAATAGAAAGCCAGCTGCAAGGACAGAGCTGTGTGTTCATCATTTTATCATTAGGCATCAGGAAGCTGCTAGTTGTAGAATAGCATCTATCCACTCCCATTTGAATTAAGAAACCTCTCTTTGATCAGAAAAAAAACGTAACAAATCTCTCTTTGATCAGAAAAAAACCATAACAAGTTCCTTTCCCTACTATTGCTCTAGTATTATTATAATTGTCGAGTATGAGACTTTTTTTTTTTTTAGACACTTTAGAAACTATTAAAGGACAAAAGGGTGTCAGCTCCCATTACCATAGAGCAGACTAACTATAAATAAGGTCTAAAAGTAAAAAGCAAGGCAGGGCAGGGGTGGGTGGAGGTGGGTGCCTCACGAAGGAGAGTCCTGAGGGGCAGCAGAACTGACCGGAACAAAACACAGGGCATCCTGCCATTCAAGTAATGTGGCCACAGGGCTGGTGCAGACCTGGGTGGGGCCTGAGGAAGGGGCTCGGCTGGTGTAAAAGGCGCATTCATCATCCAGGTGAGCCTCGTGGAAGTAGTGGATGGCGGTTAGACATAATTTGAGGCACTGCCTCAGGGCCAGGGCTCAAGGGGCCAGACTGCTAGGGCCTGCCTGGCCTGTTGGGTGCCTCAGAGACTGGAGTGAGTGGATAGGGGGGATGGCACAAAGTGGGTGTTGGGAAGAGAAGATTAAGCTGGTGGTCGCCGGAGGCACCTGACTGCAGGAGGGAGGTAGGCTGGACTCTGGAGTCTAGAATCCAGGGAGCAGGCCTCTGCTGTCCCAGGCTCTACCCTAGCACAGGGCTCTGAGGGTCCAGCCTGCCCCTGGGGGCTGACCTGGAGGGGTCCGGGCTCTGTTAGAGGGCAGGGCTCTGATACTTCAAGCTGTTCCCGGGCAGAGGGCTCTGGGATGTCAGGCTCAGTCCTACAGTAGGACTCTGGGGGCCCTGACTGCGCTGGAGCGCAGGGCTGTGGTTCCCCACACTCTTCTGGAAGGCAGGCCTTTGGCTGCCCAGGGTGCTGTAACAGTCGAGGAAGGTGGGAAGTCCCAGAATTATGCTCTGGGGCATTCAGAGTTCTAGATATCTCTGTCATCAGGGACTGAAGTTCCACCATATCCAGAGGGGTGTCTCCATTAAGGGGGGCACATTGGCCCCCTGCAAGCCCCTCCACCTCTTGTCTCAACAGCTGCTGCAGGATACCAATGCGCTGCATCCTCAGCTCCTGGAGGCTGGGGGTTCTATTGGGGTGGGGTCCAGAAGGGGTGGCCACAGGAGGCTTTGCAGGTCCCTCGGGCGACTTTATACAACTCTCCTGGTCAAACAACCGCACTGCAATCTGCTCCGAGGGCAGGGCAGGCTCTTCAGGCCAGGGCTGAGGGGAGAGGCCACTCAACCATCAGGCCTGCGAACTCTAGGGACTGATGGCATGGGTGTGAACCAGGTTTTGGGCTGAACAGCAAGATGCCACAACACTGCATGAGTTCAGAGCTGAGAAGCCAGGAGAGGGTACATCCTGAGCCTGTCCAAAGGGTGATGGACATGTAACAGAAGGTGGCACTTCATGACCAGGCATGGGCTAGGCCACAGGGGAAAGGGAAGGCATCAAATGGGAATCACAGCTGTCCCTGGTGTGTGTTATTTTTTGGGTTTCTCTTTCTATTTCCTTTAAAACCAACAAAAACATTAAGTATCCTATAACAGAACTGCTGAGATTGCTCACAAGATGGCATTGTCCTTCAGTCCCTGCTAGTGGGCAAGCCATTCACTCACAGATTTACCAATGCTTGGGCAAAGTCACCTGTGCTGTATAATGTTGGCAAAAGACAAAATTTTGTGGTTTTAAATGTTTAAAAAGGGAATTTTAAGATTTTTATTTCACCCAACTAAAAATAAAGTGATTATTCCAATAGTCAGAAGTCATTAAAACTTCTAGTTTGGGTAATTAAAGTCATTAAAGAGCTCTATGACAATTTCCAAATTACCAAAGAATGTAATTAAGATTTTCGGAGCAGATATTCATTACGAAAAAAAAAATGGATACAAATATCCTGGCTTCATATATTAATGAACAACATAAATTCCCTGTAAGGCTTAATGCATAATATTATAAATATTATCTACTTATTCAATCCCAGACAGTATGTTTCTATTAGGCCTATTTGATATAATAATTAAAAGTTAAAGATTCCTGATGGGAAACAATCTGAAAGTTAGGATTTAAAAGCCATGTATATTCCTTGACATAATACTGTAAATCCTACACAAATAATACCAATACTTGCTGAATTTTACTTATATAACTCATTTAACCAAGCAGTAAGGATTGTTAAGAGTGGAAGCCAGAATTTCAAGTCCTAGGCTAAACTAGCCTGTGACGTTGGACAAACTATTTAAAATTTGGCTGAGCCTTAGTCTCTACATTTGTAAAAAGGAAGTAGTATCACTTGCTAGGTATATATATTTCAGGAATTGGAAAAATTTTATTCCAATGATGCTAGCTAGCATCTACTAATACTAAATGGAAGCTCTTTGATGCCATTCTTTTTTCACACTAACTCAAAATGGAGTCTCAAGGTAAGGAGGTGTAGACTTCCTGTTTCCTAGGATCTAAACTAGCCCTGAAAATTTAGCAGCTGTGGCCAAAGGTGTCTTCTTATTAATCACCACCATCACCTTAAGACTAGTCAAGCACTAAAGTTTTAAAAGCATTTAAAGATTTCTTAACCCTGGCTACATATTAGAATCATCGGGGAAGCTTGTGATGCCTAACTATATTCAGGTCCCATCTGAGACCTATTAAATTGTAATATCTAAAGGTGTGGCCAAGACAGCAGTATGGTTTAAACCTCCCCCAAGTGATTCTAATTTGTAATTAGGAAAGAAAAATCATGCTTCTATTGTAATAAAATAAAAATTAGACATTGACCCCACTTTACCAAATATGACCAATTACAAGATTCCGTAACATTCCATTATAAAGGATTTTTGAAATAAAGCATTATTTCTAGTGAAAACAAAGATCTTCTAGACCGATGGACGGAGCACAAATTAATTCGTTGACCACTATCAAACTTGATTTTACTTCTACTTCAGGAATTATTTTGACTTAATTATCAGTGAGACACATTTATTCCCTGATTATGTTTTCAATACAGGCTATATTAATAAAAGAATCAACACATTCAAATTCCATTCAGAAATTCAAAGACAGTTTTATGAGTGAAGTAAATTATGAACATGGCTATAATTTGACAATATTTTAATTGTTTACATTAACTTTTCATAAACATTTTAGAAATCCAACTTTAAATTATTGGAATTTTAGTTATAAATATTTATTATACATTCTAAAATACGATTACATAAAACATATATTATGGAATATTTTATTACTTGATTTCAAGTTATCCTATGTACGAGGAAATAATAAAATGCATTTAATATTGTTTTATAATCTGCGATTTTCATTAATTCATTGTACTTTCCTTGAAGTTCATGTAAAATTAAGGAAAGTTTTATTATACTGAGAATTATTTATTAAGATAAAAGATCTTGTTTTTATTTTATTTCATTTTTTTTTCTTTTTAGATAGAGTCTTGTTCTGTTGCCCAGGCTAGAGTGCTGTGGCATCAGCCTAGCTCACAGTAATCTCAAACTCTTGACCTTAAGTGATCCTCCTGCCTCAACCTCCCAGAGTGCTAGGATTACAGGCCAGAGCCACCCAGCCCGGCCCTTGTTATTTTAATTATTTAATAACAACAACAACAACAACAACAGCAAAACGTGACTAATTAAGGGCTATACTATTAAACTAAAAGGTATTCATATAACATAACTTTGCTTTTCAACATAAATTAGCTCAATTCTACTTTTAGTTGCAAACATTAGGACTGCCTAATCCGGAGCCTATATTTCTGTGTTCTTACATTATAAAAAAAAAAAAAAGTAATACCTGCACTCCTTCCATAAACACACAGAAAAGGCTCTCAGAATTTCAATCTAATTTATCTTACTTGGTCTACTATTAAAAACCCTACTTTACAAACACCTAAGAACTGGCAGCTGCAGCTAATTAAGTATCTTTAATTTGCCCTTTTGTTTCTTCATGCCAACACAGTATCCTAAAGGATAATCAATATGTTGAAATCTAACATCCTGTCCATAGGTAGTTTTAGGTATGGATTTTTAATCTGATATGTATCTTTTAAGTAATTCCAAGTATAGTCACTGACCTATATACTTAGAGAATTTTACAGAAGGCATAATATGCTAATTTTTACTCTGTCTTTGGAAAAAAAAAAAAAAACCTACTTACTAATTCTGTCTTTCAAGTAATGCACAAGGTTTTCATTCAGGTTATTTTAACAGTGACAGTTACCACACTGTCAGTATTTCTATTTCTACCTTCAACATTTCACCTTACATTCAAGAATACTATCAAAATGCTCATCTGGATCATTCTTACGTGTACTTTGTCAAGTAGAAGTGACAACAAAAAATGAGATAGTTAACATAAGCTCAGACATAAAATGGGCATGTAAAGGCCTCCACATGCTAGTGCACTCCCCATAACATCCTTTATAAAGTCCATTATATTTTCCCTAGAATCAAAGATTAAAAACACATAGGAAAAAAAGGTACCTGACAATTATTCTTGCTCATGACGGTTTTAAATTTCCTAAGTTCCAGGTTCTCAATGAAAATATATACACAGAATATGTTCTTACATGAAAAAAAAAATTCTCACTATGCACCATCCCTTGGATTCCATTTCAGCAGCATCTTATTACCTCAATTAATTACAGCAGTAGTTAACCATTGTTGACAAGTAGAAATTTTTTTTTTTTTTTTTTGAGACAGGTCTCACTGTGTTGCCTGGGCTAG